AATCCTAACTTTAGCATCGGAGTCTCTTTTGCAGGTACCACCCCCATCTTGGAGCATCAAGCGTACCAGCGAAGGAGGCTCACCAATCTTACTCGGAGGATTATCTCTACAGCAGATTTCCGGTAAGAACATATATAATAATATATCTATTTATAATATAAATATATTCATAAAAAGTTATAGGTTTAATATATGTAACACCCTGTTTTTCACAAATTATATGAAGGTATTTTAGAAATTTTTTTTTGATATTTAGTAGTCTAGAACGAGCTGTTCCCAAACTAGAACGAATCGTTCCAAACTATTAAATAGGCTTGTAATCCTAGTTGGGAACGAGCCGTTCTGGTTTAAGAACGGACCATTCCAAACATCACTACTACAGGATGTATCATCTACATCAGTTCTGCGAGGTAAACTACATCAGTTCTAAAACCGATGTAAAATAAGGCGACATAGAAATGCATACACTTCTACATCAATTTTGAAATCGATGTAGATTTGTGCAAAATCTACATCGGTTTTGCTGACAATCGATGTAGATTTGTGTTAAAATCTACATTAGATCTACTGACAACCGATGTAGATTACATTTTAAAAAAAACTTCATTTATTTTTTTTATTCTTTCTGATTACCTTGAGACAACACCATCTTCTATGGAATTTGCAAGCACACCTAACGCAATTTCAACAAAATAATATAGGAAGAGGTTAAAATTTTCATCAAAAGAGGTCAGTTTCAAATTCAACAAAACAATAGAATAAAAGGAAAATATTTCAACAGAGGAGGTATATTAAACAACAGAGGAGGTATATTAAACAAGCCTTAGTGCAGGTTTGGTCACATTACTATTACAGGGAAAAAGTAACTCAATAAGTGTCAAATCTATGCTTTAAGTATCTTTAAGAATTGATATTCAAATAATTACAATATGTGAATGATAGAAAAGATAGAGAAAAGTTTAGCATTTCAGCCTAAAGCCTATTTGGATAAAACTTCTTCAGAAACATATATAGAGGAAGAAAATAAGAAAACATAATTAAACTTCTATCGCATGTTAAAATTTACATACGCAAAAGTTAAAATTCATTTTAAAGAAGTTTCTATATATTAGTATATGCATCCATTAGTTAATTTTAATTTACGACAGAAACTTAGTTGATTTTACTTTTTTATTGCATTTTCTTATAAGTGTCTATTGGGAAAACAGGACTTAATATAAAATAATTTCCAGTGTTGGTGAAACTCAGCGTATCGCGTTAAAAAGCAAAAGAGATAATTACCAGTTAATTCAATAATTCATTGAGGCGATCAAAATTGACTCTAGATTTGCGACTCTACAAATGATACAAGCAAACAAGCAGACAATAGTTATATGCATTATTATGTTAATCAAATAATGTACTACGAAGGCATAGATTAAAATCAATATGACATGACACTTCTCGACATGATTTATGTAATGAGAGATAAAAATCTAACAGTGGATTTCATGAAACTTTTATCTTAAATTATGTATTCCCTATTGTCGGTTGTAAATCCAAAGGCTGGCACAACCCAAAAAAGGGTGTTTGAAAAGAAGGTTTGTTAATATCCTAATAGGAAATAAACTTGTCCACACTTTTCAATTTTAGAAAATGACTAATAACTATCTAGGTTATTTGCCTTAAATCAAATTGTTGCCTATCCACCATTTGGTTTAAAGTTTTAAACCCCAACATATTTACAAGAGAGTTTCAGCAAGATCAATTAATAATAGAACAAACCATTGATAATCAGAAATTTTTATAGACTAACTTTACCTGCCAATCGACACCACGGCTCAAAATTAAAGGTGGCAATGGAGTTGCACTTGCATACCTTGAAATAGCAATAAAAGTACCAGTTGATACATTTTATCAGCAAAAATACTTATGATTTAATCAAATTAAATTCATTTTCCCTTAGTCATTAAGATGATCTAATTAAATAACAAAACAAGTTTGTTGTTGTTGGACATGAGGTCTATTATAAATATTTGCAGCATATGCCTCTGGATGCTCATTTACTCCAGACTACTGCAGAGAAGGGCGAATATTTGTATGATGATCATTTGAAGAACAAATGCCGCAGACCCTTGCTATAGATGCAAATTTTTGATTTGCAGCAAGTTGAGTCACTACGTTGACCAATGCATCAAGTTTACTCTCCAACTTTTTATCTGCATCAGTGGCCACATTATGAACTCCTCTGATGACAATTGCATTATCGTTTCTAGTACTAAATTGTTGAGAGTTGGAGGCCATCTTTTTTATCAAGTGCCTAACTTCAGCTAGGGTCATGTCACCAAGTGCTCCACAACTTACAGCATCTATCATACTTCTCTTCATGTTATTCATCCCCTCATAAAATTATTACAGCAATAAATGCTCAGAAATCTGGTGGTGAGGACAGCTTGCACACAATTTCTTGAATCTCTCCCAGTACTCATACAAGCTCTCTCCACCAAGTTGCCTGATCCCTGATATATCTTTTTTGATTGCAGTGGTCCTCGAGGCATGGAATAATTTCTCCAGAAACATTCTTTTAAGATCATCCCAGCTGGTGATGGACTTGGGGCTAAATAATACGACCAATCTTTAGCAACTCCCTCCAATGGGTGTGGAAATGCCTTCAAGTAAATGTGGTCCTCTTGAAATTCAAGAGGCTTCATGGTAGAACAAACAATATGGAACTCCTTCAGATGTTTATGTGGATCCTCACCTGCATGACCATGAAACTTGGGCAACAAATGGATTAGTCCAGTTTTAAGCACAAAAGGAACATCCTCCTCGGGATATTGAATGCACAAACTCTCATATGTAAAATCAGGTGCAGTCATCTCCCTAAGAGTCCTCTCTGGGGTCCATTATAAGGTTGCTCACCCATGTTTTCTGTTTGAACTAAATCAACCTCAGATGCAACACTTACACTATGACTATCACTATGACTATCTAAAGATGGAATGATACGCTCTCTAATTATTCTATGGAATTTCCTATCAATCTCAGGGTCAAATGGATGCAAAAAGCCTGGATTGCTCCTACTCATGCACTACATGCAACACATGCATCAAGAAACGTGAACAGTAGGAGTAAAATGGGAATTTCCATGAAAACTTGGAAACAATCAAAACTAATGCGCCAATATCATCCTAAAATCATTAGAAACTACCTCAAAAAATTTCAAAGAAAAATTCAAAGCCTAACTATATGAAAAACCTATGAAAAGTTTGAAAAAATAGGGAAATAAAACTTCAAAATTAGAAAGAAAAAAATAGCAAATGACATTTTTTTGAAAATCTAAGTGGTGCCAGACAGCATAGCAAGTTGGGTTTGATAGATCTTTTTTTTCTACCCCAAATGCATATATAATATGTCCAATTCTGATAACCAGAGCAAAAGTTATGGAAGTTTGAAGTTTTGCTGAAAACCGGTTTAAAAATTTTTTGTATCTTCAAATCAGGACCATTATAAGTGCCTCTGGGATTTTTTACACAAAATATAAGTTGAAAGAAGTGTGCACACCAAATTAGAAGCAAAAATAACAAGTCTAGCTATCAAAACAAAAAATCATAATTAATTGGAAAATTTGGGCACTATTCACCGTCACATGAAATGCACAATTTCACACCACTTTCCCCAAATTTTGGCACCCGAACAGAGGAGTACTAGAGGCAGAAAATAGAGTATGCCTAAGTGAAACAGAGCATGCATGGAATGGAAACAGATTACACCATACAACATACAACTTAGACTTTGAATTTACTGTTCCATTGGATTACTATTCCATTGGTTAGTTTCATGAGATTGAATAGCACGAATTCTTCAATTGGTATACTTGCTACTAATAACAAACACAAAAAAAAAACACAAATACACAACATAACATGTAGTGGGACACAAAAAACGCAAACACAAACTGATACAAAACTGAAGTAAAAACTAATACACTAAAGTTGATACACTGATACACTAAAACACTACACCAAAAACACACAGAACATAACAAAGACTCTAAAACACTATACTACTAACAAAAACACAAAACACACAATAGAACACAAAACCTTTGACAATAACCGATGGTCCCCGGTAACAGCACCAAATTTGATCGAAGTCGTATCCGGTCAAATAAAATAATTAAATGCAGTACTAGCAAGTTGTCATAGGTCGTCTCCCAAGGACCATCCCTTCTCTATCAAAGGTTAAAATAGGAAGTGAGGGGGTTTGATTCAGATTTATCAAGGTTTAAAACACAATAAAATGCAAGTAAAATAGTAAGTAAAGCAGGTTGACTCCTTGTTAAGATTGCAACTCTTTTATCCCTGGTTCACTACAAATTTCTCTATTAACAACTTAATCCTTGTTCCATCCGAATTAACCAACTAAGCAAAGATTAACTCAAGATTTCCCTACACGAATTAAGCAAACGTATGACTTCTTCTCAGACTTGAACACAGATTTGTGAAGCAAGGATGATGAAGATGCTCGGCTAGGTTCGTTGCACCGATTCAAGTTTCTGATTATGCGGTAATCTGTTCTTTAAAATCTTTAAAATCTGGAATTCCTCTTTCTCTCTAATCTATTTCTTGATTAATTCGACCTAAATTCATGATTATGATTTAGCTCTAATTAATTCAAGAACAGATTCAATTCGTTTTGAAATTAAAACACCGAAGTTGGATTCAATTTGGATTGGAATTTTATAAAACAGATTTGTGTCTAATTTTCCATAGAACATGATTGTGTTCTTCGTTCTCCAATTCGAATTGAATGATAAACAGTGGAATTCGGATTAATTCCTTATTACCGTATAAATCTGAGATTTGAATTGGTATTTTCATTTGATTAGATTTCCATCTTGTTTCAATTGATTCGAATTTATGATCTAGTATTCATTAAACTGTTCTTCAATCCCCTTGCTAATTGAACTGATAAAATCTTCAAACAAATTAATTTCTGTCTTTGAGATTCGACCTAGGTTAGCTCACTACATTACATTTTAATTCGGAGGACCTGGAATTATTTGATTTCCATAACGACATGGATATCAAGGCTCTAGTCTCTTGCTGAAACTGCATGTTCTGAATGGTCATCTGGCTCACCAACTCCTCCAATGAAGAATAAAAAGTAGAAGGTTGAGTTGGAGGAGGTGCAGGAACATCATGTTGTCTCTGTTGCTGCTGTTGGACAGGAGGAGGCACATATCTGCTAGGACCAGGAGTATTCTGGAATAAAAGGGATGGTTGTTGTTGTTGTTGGTTGGACCATCTGAGATTAGGATGATTTCTCCAACTTGGATTGTACTTATTGTTGGAGAAGTCATAACTCTGCTGTTGTTGTTGTTGGACATGAGGTCTATTATAAATATTTGCAGCATATGCCTCTGGATGCTCATTTACTCCAGACTACTGCAGAGAAGGGCGAATATTTGTATGATGATCATTTGAAGAACAAATGCCGCAGACCCTTGCTATAGATGCAAATTTTTGATTTGCAGCAAGTTGAGTCACTACGTTGACCAATGCATCAAGTTTACTCTCCAACTTTTTATCTGCATCAGTGGCCACATTATGAACTCCTCTGATGACAATTGCATTATCGTTTCTAGTACTAAATTGATTTTTGTATGCTTTTCTCAATTGGTTTGTTATGTAATCTAAGCTCAACGTGAACAATTAAAAGTTACACAATTCTAGACGAAATAAGGCAGCAAAGAAAACACAATTATAAGCAAGAAACTTTAAAGGAAGCAAGAACAAGTAGCTAGTCGGATAACCCTAAGTGGAAGCTTGAAACATATGAAATTTCCAAGCCACTTCCACTAGTACTACACGTGAGATGCTATCAAGGATGTAGATATACCTGACCAGCTTCTTAATACTCCCTCCAAGCTTTACAAATTGATTTAAAATACAAGAGTTTTGACAAAAAAATGTAAACTAGCTTAGAAAGCAATAAATGGCGGTTTTGTGACCAATTAGTGACGGTTTT